TATGCTTGACCCTCTTTCTCCATTAAATGTTTGAATCAGGATGATATAGTATCACCAAAACCTGGGGAGTGTCCAATGGAATCCATAGAAGAAACAGATAGTAATTTATTAGCAGAAAAGCCCAACACATAGGCCCAAATGTGTTGAACAAATGGCTATATAGGGGTCCCCAAACTACGGCCCGTGGGCCGTATGCGGCCCACCGAGGGCATTTCTCTGGCCCGCGCAGCCTGGCCTGGCCTGGCCATGCCCACCCGGCACCACTCCGCCAATTGCGGACATCCTCTGCTCTGGCTGCTCTGCCTGTGTGGGAGGGAGAAGCCTCCCAGGTGGGTCCTCTGCAGAGCAGAGCGGCTGGAGCAGAGGGTGTCCGCAATTGACGGAGCAGCGCTGGGTGGGCATGGCCAGGGAACGCCGGCGTGGTGAAGGCAGGTGAACCAAGACTGGCTCAATTCCATCATTGGTGGAGTTCAGAATATTCTTTGATTGAACTATAAATCCTAGCAAATACAACCCCCCAAACGCCACCAGTGTTCACATTTGGACATATTGAGTATCAGTGCCAAGTTTGGTCCAGATCTATCATTGAGTCCACAGTGATTTATGGAGGCAGGTGAACTACAACTCCAAAACCAAAGGACACTGCCCACCAAACCCTTCCAGTATTTTCTGTTGGTCATGGGAGAACTGTGTGCCAAGTTTGGATTCAATTCCATCGTTGGTGGGGTTCAGAATGCTCTTTGATTGTAGGTGAACTATAAATCCCAGCAACTACAACTCCCAAATGTCAAGATTCTATTTTCCCCAAACTCCACCAGTGTTCAAATTTGGGCATATTGAGTATTTGTGCCAAGTTTGATCCTGATCCATCATTGTTTGAGTTCACAATGATCTCTGAATGTAGGTGAACTACAACTCCAAAACGACACTGCCCACCAAACCCTTCCAGTATTTTCAGATTGTCATGGGAGAAATGTGTGCCAAGTTTGGTTCAATTCCATCATTGGTGGGGTTCAAAATGCTCTGTGATTGTAGTTGAACTATAAATCCCAGCAACTACAACTCCCAAATGACAAAATCAATTTTTTGTGTGAAGGACATACATTGGGTTGTTAGATATCTTGTGTCCAAAATTGGTGTCAATTCGTCCAGTGGTTTTTGAGTTCTGTTAATCCCACAAACGAACATTACATTTTTATTTATATAGAAGTGTGGGTTTTTGTTTTTTGATTTTTTTTTGGGGGGGGGGGTTGCACTGCAAATAATATATGTGCAGAGTGCATAGGAATTCATTCATATATTTTTTTCAAATTATAATCCGGCCCTCCAACAGTTTGCGGGACTGTGACCCGGCCCTCTGTTCAAAACGTTTGGGGACCCCTGGGCTATATATTGCCTCCAGCCTGATCTTGAAGAAGTTACTTTGTAGATTACAGCTTCAAGATTATTTCAACCAGTATGAGCACTAGCCACTTATTCAATCTCTGCTCCCAGTTTCAGAGACTAGATGCCCCCGAATACCAGGTGCTCAGGAACCTCCAACAGGAAGGTATTATTTATGTCATTTCCTTCCTTTGAGTTTCCCATTGGGATCTGGAGAGGCAATGTAGAAACACAATACTGGATTAGTTAAGTATTTTGTATGATCAGCTGTGACTCTTTGTGTGTCTTTAAGAAAACACATCAACAAAAAAAAAGCCTACTCATCATCCAAGTGAAAGGAAATGGCCTGAGTGAGTGTTTGAGAGGGATTGTCAGGAGCCTTGACACAGAAGGTCTTTCATGGAGATCTCCAATCTTTCTTTTATAAACCTGAAATGTAATTGCTAACGTGCATCAATTTGAGTAGAACAGTGGGACTATTGAAGCCTTTAAAGAGGAGGGTCAAAAGGCTCCTCAAATACAAAGGGCTTCTTTTCTTCTACAAGGCTATCCACAATTTTCATGGGCCAATTTTGATGGGGAAAATGATGGGGTTGATCACCACTTCCTTTAGCATCTATCGAGTCTAATTGACAGCCTGCTGCAATCATATCTCAGAATATTGCTCAATTATGCACATAGATTGACTGTAGGAGCAATGGAATGGGTAGATCATTCATAATACATTGGACTCACAGTATCTGCTGGGATTTGGTTCCAGAAACCCATCCCACCCCATCCCCATGGATATAAAATCCATGGATCTTCTAGTCCAGTGGTTCTCAACCTGGGGGTCGGGACCCCTGGGGGGGTCGTGAGGGGGTGTTAGAGGGGTCGCCAAAGACCATCAGAAAACACAATATTTTCTGTTGGTCATTGGGGTTCTGTGTGGGAAGTTTGGGCCAATTATATCGTTAGTGGGGTTCAGAATGCTTTTTGATTGTAGGTGAACTATAAATCCCAGCAACTACAACTCGCAAGTATCAAGGTCTATTTCCCCCAAGCACCACCAGTGTTCACATTTGGGCATATTGAGTATTCGTGCCAAGTTTGGTCCAGATCCATTATTGTTTGAGTCCACAGTGCTCTCTGGATGTAGGTGAACTACAACTCCCAAACTCAAGGTCAATGCCCACCAAACCCTTCCAGTATTTTCTGTTGGTCATGAGAGTTCAGTGTGCCAAGTTTGGTTCAATTCCATCATTGGTGGAGTTCAGAATGCTCTTTGATTGTAGGTGAACTATAAATCCCAGCAACTACAACTCCCAATTGACAAAATCAACCCCTCCGCCCAACCCCACTAATATTCAAATGTGGGCATATCGGGTATTTGTGCCAAAGTTGGTCCAGTGAATGGAAATGCATACTGCATATCAGATATTGACATTACAATTCATAACAGTAGCAACATTACAGTTATGAAGCAACAAGGAAAATAATGTTCTGGTTGGGGGTCACCACAACATGAGGATCTGTATTAAGGGGTCATGGCATTAAGAAGGTTAAGAAACACTGTTCTAGTCAATGGTATAGTACAATGCTGTCCCTTATACAAAACTAACTGTCCCCTGCCACGCGTTGCTGTGGCCCAGTCTGTTGATCTGGAAAATAAAGGGAATGAGAAAGTATTGGTTTCTAATATATGTAATGTCTTGATGCTTGTGGGTAAACAATATTTCTTGTGTTTCTTTGTCAGTGTTGATGTGGAGAGTGTCTGGTTTGCTGCTCTGGAACATGGAACATATTATTGTCCTTCTTTAAGGGTCCCTTTCAAATCTATGATACTATATCTGTGTGTGTGTGAATCATATCTATCTGTCCATCCATCCATCTATCTATATCTATGGCTGGATGGCTCTTTGTCAGGAGGACTTTGTTTACGTTTTCTTGCCCTGATGAAGGGAGTTGGATTGGATGGCCTTAAGTATTTTCTGTTGGTCATGGGGGTTCTGTGTGGGAAGTTTGCCCCGATTCTGTCGTTCGTGGGGTTCAGAATGCCCTTTGATTGTAGGTGAACTGTGAATCCCAGTGACTACAACTCTCAAATGTCAAGGTCTATTTCCCCCAAACTCCATCTGTGTTCATATTTGGGCGTATTGAGTGCTTGTGCCAAGTTTGGTCCAGATCCATCATTGTTTGAGTCCACAGTGCTCTCTGGATGTAGGTGAACTACAACTCCCAAAACTCAAGACCCACCAAACCTTTTCAGTATTTTCTGTTGGTCATATGAGATCTCTGTGCCAAGTCTGGTTCAATTCCATCATTGGGGGAGGTGAATTATAAATCCCAACAACTACAACTCCCAAATGACAAAATTATAATTTTCTGAGTGATGGTCACTCCTTGTGTTGTGAGACATTTTGTTGCCATATTTGGTGTTATTTCGTTCATTGGTTCTTTTGTTTTTAAGGTACTCATTATGCACAGAACATTTTTTGATGATAGATAGATAGATAGATAGATAGATAGATAGATAGATAGATAGATGATAGATAGAAGATAACAAACAACTATAACAAGTGAGAGGGCCTAAAGATCAGTCAAAAGGTAGGTGGTTACCGCAGGGTATGCCTACACATGAGCATAGTGTTTGCTGCATGGTAAAATCAACATTTACTTTCTGGAATCCCATCCCCAAGTACTTTTAGGTCATGGTTGGCTGAATCCATGATGCAGAATCCATGTATGTGGAGTATAGTAATCCACCTTCTATCTAATGAACTGAATGACATATCAATATATTGTCGAAAGCTTTCATGGCCAGAATCACTGGGTTGTTGTAGGTTTCTTTCGGGCTATATGGCCATGTTCTAGAGCAGTGGTTCTCAACCTGGGGTCCCCAGATGTTTTGGCCTTCAACTCCCAGAAATCCTAACAGCTGGTAAACTGGCTGGGATTTCTGGGAGTTGTAGGCCAAAACACCTGGGGACCCACAGGCTGAGAACCACTGTTCTAGATGAATTTTTAATGACGTTTCGCCTGCATCTATGGCAAGCATCCTCAGAGGACCTCACAACCTCTGAGGATGCTTGCCATAGATGCAGGCGAAATCAGGAGAGAATTCCTCTAGAACAGTGGTTCTCAACCTGGGGTCCCCAGATGTTTTTGGCCTACAACTCCCAGAAAACCTAACAGCTGCTAAACTGGCTGGGATTTCTGGGAATTGTAGGCCAAAAACATTTGGGGACCCCAGGTTGAGAACCACTGCTCTAAAACATGGCAATATAGCCCGAAAAAACTTACAACAACCCAGACATATCAATAGAATACATGTTTACAATGGATGCATCGCAGTTAGGAAAATCAGAGCAAGAACCTTAGAGGCAATAGTTTGGATGCCATATTCATATGTGAAATAATTAATTTCACAAATAATTTTAACAGTCTTCATGCTATGAAGTCACATTCACTATATTTGGTGGTTTAACTCATACCGCATCTACTGTAATCACATTTCTAAAGTATCTCCTTTTGCAACTTCTGTGTGCACTGCAAATCTGTGTTGATGGAAAAACTGTTGTTTGAGAAACATGGTATTATTTGTTCTTGCAAAATTCCTCTTTTGTTCCTTTTTATAGGAGAAGTTCAGTGGAAGGGGTGACTGAGCATCATGTATCATCACATCCTCATTTTCCATCAGACACTGACCTTGGATCAGAAATGCAGAGAAACAGTAAAAGCCCCATAGGTTGGCTGAAGAGTGAAGCAATCCAAAATCAAGACCAGGTGATTGTTTAGTCTTATGTTAAGAATAAATATGAATCGATATTGAGAGAGCTTTTTCATGAATATGATGATGGTTCCATGAACTACAGTTGAAGTCCAGAATAAACTTGGGTAGTGATCAGATCTTTTGACATTTTTATGACTGAAGAGTCACCACGGTGGTCAACTGAATGGATCTGGGTTGTTCTACTTCAGGTGTAGGTTACTTTCCAGTGGCATGATTCAAAATAATTCCATCTCCAGGTTTCCCTCATGGCGCCAAAGGACCTTGCCTGTGATCTTTATGACTCTCCTTCCTGCCTGTCACTACTCCTGGCTCCCCTTTTATGAACTTATCACATCCCGCCCCCCCAGTGCAATTTTGCCAGCAAGTGAGGTGAAACAGCAGGCACACAGGGAGACTCTGGCTCCCCATATGCCGTTCTGATGTGGTGATACTTCCCACATCACAGGGAGGAAGCATCGTCCAACAGATTCAGAAGTGTGCTGGTTCCATTCCTAGGATGCTTCCTCATCAACACGGGAAGGCACCTGTGTTGCGCTGGCTCCAATGAAACCAGCACACTTCTGAATCTGAATTCTAGGATGCTTCCATGTTGGTTGGGGATGGGGCCTCCACTAGAAGTTGAGGGGCATCACATGATAGGCTGCTTACCCATTCATCCCTCAACTTGGGCAGAAGCATCCTAGGGCATCCTTTGTTATTGTTGTTCATTTGTTCAGTCGTTTTTGACTCTTTGCGACCTCATGGACCAGCCCACGCCAGAGCTCCCTGTCGGCCGTCACCACCCCCAGCTCCTTCAAGGTCAATTCAGTCACTTCAAGGATCCCAAACATCCATCTTGCCCTTGGTCAGCCCCTCTTCCTTTTTCCTTCCACTTTCCCCAGCATAATTGTCTTCTCTAGGCTTTGCTGTCTCCTCATGATGTGGCCAAAGTACTTCAATTTTGTCTCTAATATCCTTCCCTCCAATGAGTAGTCGGGCTTTATTTACTGAAGTATGGACTGGTTGGATCTTCTCGCAGTCCAAGGCACTCTCAGAACTTTCCTCCAGCATCACAGTTCAAAAGCATCTATCATCCTTCGCTCAGCCTTCCTCTATATACGTCAACTCAGACGTGAGCCCTATTGAGCTGAATGGGTTTGGATTCCACCTAAGGCCATTATAAATTAGATGCTGGAAAATTACTGACGTAACACAATTTCTAAATTAATATTTTGAGATGGGGAAGACTTAAATCCTAAATTTAACACACAAATTTTCACATGTGATTGAGCATAAGAGATATACAAACTAGTGAACATTCTTTAGCTTGGATTCTGATTTCTGATCTTGCTTGTGGGAAGAATGTTCACTAGCGTTTATACATCTTACACTTGACATACGATACTCAAGGCTTATTATATTTTACATGCTCACCTCCAAGCTCTGATATAAGCATCTATATCACAGTGAGTATTGCTTCTATTTTCTTGCTTCCTAGTGCATGTGATTTTGTGACCAACCTCCTTAACAAACATTCCTTTGCATTAAATATTAACACAGAGACATTTTATCAGTGACTGAAGTAAAACCTGGAGAAAATTCTTGTCCTTGCTCTAAGTCAGGATTCATAACCTTGGGACCACAGATATTTTTCAGGGATCAATGAACCTGAATCTCCACCACCCTATTTTGAATTATCTTTTGGGGCTTCCAGGGCTTCAATGTGTTCTTGTTACAATACATTTCAAGCTGTAAACTTAATGTTTCCAAGAGTTCAGTGTAATGGTTTGCTCCTGATGCATAGGCGTGAAGGAGAAATGCAATAAAACAAATTGTGCATTGGAAAATATGAGAAAGGGAAACCTCGCAGTCTCTGAGGATGCTTGCCATAGATGCAGGTGAAACGTCAGGAGAGAATGCCTCTAGAACATGGCCATATAGCCTGAAAAAACCTAGAACAATCCAGTGATTCCAGCCATGAAAACCATCGACAATACAATAAAGCAAATTGTATGCAAAATTTAACATCTCCATGTTTATATGCATTTTTCTGTGTGGGGAGTCCACCTGAGGTTCACCTGATCACTTTTGTGCATTAGATCTCTGTGCCAATCACAGGAAGCGGCCACATTAGTTTAACTGAAGAAGCAGAAAATCCCTCCCCCCTTGCAAAACCATTTCCATCCCTGGTAGAAGAAATACAATCATTAGCATTTAAGCAACTCACAATTTACTGCTATTTCACAAGTCTGCTATACAAGGTTTTTGTGTCACTCGGCACTGACCTTGGGAATATGAACTGTGTCTCTTTCCATTTTTCATATCATTTTTTCTATTCAAATTCTCTCGCTTCCTTCTTCTCCATATGTTTTTTGCATTATATAATTACAGACAGTCTTACAAACAAATTTAACTTAAGAACAAGTCTATAGGACCCAGCTTGTTCATAACTTGGGGACTGTCTGTAATTATATAATGCAAAAAACATATGGAGAAGAAGGAAGTGAGAGAATTTGAATAGAAAAAAAATGATATGAAAAATGGAAAGAGACACAGCTACATTTTGAGAGTGTAACTCCAGCCAAACATATACATTTTGTAGCTTTGGATAGCTTAGGGAAATGGCTTAGGTCTAGACTATTTGACAAACTACATCGGAGGAGGTCCTCCTCTCAGTTCCACCCCCGTCCCAAACACGGCTAGTGGGAATGAGAGAAAGGGCCTTCTC